TCCAATCCATGAGCAAGGAATCTCTATCTCTTTAAGTCATTATCAATTTCTCTCAGTAATCTCTTATAGTTTTCTTCGTATAAGTCCTTCACCTCCTTGGTTAAATTTATTCCTAGGTACTTAATTTTTTTAGTTGCAACTGCAAATGGAATTGTATTTTTGAGTTCTCTGTCTGTAAGTTAGTTATTGGAGTATAGAAAAGCAACTGATTTTTGTAACTTGATTTTGTACCCTGCAACTTTACTGTAGTTGTTCATTATTTCTATTAGTTTTCCAATGGATTTCTTTGGGTTTTCTATATATAAGATCATGTTGTCTTCACACAGTGAGTTTCCGTTCTTTGCTCCCTATTTGGATTCCTTTCTCTTACCTAATTGCTCTGGCCAAAACCTCCAGTACTATGTTGAATAAGAGTGGCCATAGTGGGCATCCTTGTCTTGTTCCTGTTCTCAGTGGGATGGCACTTAGTTTTTGCCCATTAAGTATGATGTTGCCTGTGGGTTTGTCATATATGGCCTTTATTATGTTGAGGTAATTTCCTTCTATCCTCATTTTGTCAAGAGGTTTTTTATCATAAATGGCTGTTGGATCTTGTCAACTGCTTTATCTGCATCTATTGAGATGATCATGTGGTTTTTATTCCTCAGTTTGTTGATGTGGTGTATCATGTTGATTGATTTGTGGATGTTGAACCATTCCTGTGTCCCTGGTATGAATCCCACTTGATTGTGATGTATGATCCTTTTGATGTACTGCTGAATTCAGGTTGCCAAAATTTTGTTTAGAATTTTTGCATCTATGTTCATCAGCGATATTGGCCTATAATTCTCCTTTTTTGTGCTGTTCTTGTCAGGATTTGGTATCAGAGTGATGTTGGCCTCATAAAATGTGTTAGGAAGTGTTCCATCTTCCCTAACTTTTTGGAATAGCTTGAAAAGGATAGGTATTAAATTCTCTCTGAAAGTTTGGCAGAATTCCCCAGGAGAGCCGTCTGGTCCTGGGGTTTTATCCTTTGGGATGGTTTTGATTGCTATTTCAATCTCTTTCCTTGTGATTGGTCTATTCAGATTTTCTGTTTCTTCTTGACAGCTTTGGGAGGTTGTTAAGAGTCCAAGAATTTCTCCATTTCCTCTAGGTTATCCATCTTCTTGGCATATAGTTTTTTGTAGTACTCTCTTATAGTCTGTTGTATTTCTGTGGCATCTGTTGTTATTTCTCCTCTTTCATTTCTGATTTTCTCTTTTTTTCTTTGTAAGTCTGGATAGGGGTTTCTCAATTTTATTTATCTTCTCAAAGAACCAGCTCTTTGTTCCATTGATTCTTTCTACTGCCTTTTTTGTTTCAATAGCATTTATTTCTGCTCTGATTTTTATTATTTCCCTCCTTTTGCTGACTTTGGGCTTTGTTTGTTCTTCTTTTTCTAATTCATTTAGGTGTAATTTGAGATTGCTTATTTGGGATTTTTCTTGGTTCCTAAGGTGTGCCTGTATTGCAATGAATTTCCCTCTTAATACAGCTTTTGCTGCATCCCATATGATTTGGTATGGCGTGTTATCATTTTCATTTGTCTGCAGATATTTTTTGATTTCTTCTTTAATTTCAATGATCCATTGCTTGTTCAATAGCATATTTAGCCTCCACATCTTTGTCCCTTTCTCATCTTTTTCTTGTAATTAATTTCTAGCTTTATAGCACTATGATCGGAGAAGATGCTTGTTATTATTTCAATTTTTTTAAATTTATAGAGGCTTGCCTTGTTTCCCAACATCTGTTCTATCCTTGAGAATGTTCTGTGTGCACTTGAGAAGAATGCGTATTCTGCTATTTTTGGATGGATTGTTCTATGTATGTCTACTAAGTCAAACTGTTTTAGCTTTTCATTTAATTTCACTATTTCCTTGTTGACTTTCTGTCTGGATGATCTATCCAATGATGTGAGTGGGGTGTTAAGGTCCCCTACTATTATTGTGTTATTTTTAATATCTTCTTCTGGGTTTGTTGATAGTTGCTTTATGAACTTTGGTTCTCCTGTGTTGGGTGCATAGGTATTTATAGGCATTATTTCTTCTTGATGGAGTGTCCCTTTGATCATTATATATACTGCCCCTCTTTGTCTCTCTTCACCTGCTTTATCTTGAAGTCTACTTTGTCTGATATAAGTATTGTGACACCTACTTTCTTTTGTTTGCCATTAGCTTGGAGTATCACCTTCCACACCTTCACTCTGAGCTATATTTGTCATTGGAGCTCAGATGTGTTTCCTGGAGGCAACAAATGTTGCACCTTGTTCTTGTCACTCTGTGTCTTTTTATGGAGAGTTCAATCCGTCTACATTGAGGGTGATTATTGATGTTTGAGGGCTTAATGCTGTCATTATATCACTCGTTTTCCAGTTTTCCTGCATTTCTTTTGTTTCTCATCCTGTGTGTTTTGGTCTACCCATTGAATTATGCAGTTTTTTATGCTGTGTTTCTGTTTTTCCTTCTTTATTTTTTGTGTCTCTGGTCTGCTTTTTAGTTTAGTGGCTACCCTGAAGTTTGTATTCAGAATCTCGTGCATAACATAGTCCATTTTCTGATGGCCTCTTATCTCCTTAGTCTAAACTGATTCAGTCCCTTTCCTCCTCCTCTTCTAAGTTATTATTCTCATATCTTATTCCAACTTGTGTTGTGAGTTTATGGTTAAAGTGACAGGATTCTCTTTGTTTTTGGTGTTTTCCTTCCCTTTAGCCTAATGCTATAGTCGAATATTTGCTATCCTATTCTGATTCTGCCTATCTATTTGCCTCCTTCTTTGTGTTTTGTGACCCCTTTCCCCCTTTTTTCTTTTTTCAGGTATGAGGGCCTTCTTGAGGATTTCTTCGGGGGGGGGGGGTCTCATGGCTATGAAGTCCTGTAGCTTTTGTCTGTCTGGGAAAGATTTAATTTCTCCCTCATATCTGAAGGATATTTTTGCTGGATAGAGTATTCTTGGCTGAAGATTTTTATCTTTTAAAGTTTTGAATATGTCGTTCCATTCTCTCCTAGCTTGTAAGGATTTTGCAGAGAAATCTGCTGAAAGCCTAATTCCTTTGCAGGTTACTTTCTTCTGCCTTGCTGCCCTGAGGATTCTGTCATTCATTTTTTCCAGCTTTACTACTATATGCCTTGCAGTTGTTCTTTTTCCATTGACAAATCTAGGAGATCTGAAAACTTCCTCCATACACATTTCCCTCTCATTCCCTAGATTTGGGAAGTTCTCTGCTATTATTTGTTTGAGCATGCTTTCTGCTCCATTCTCCTTCTCTTCACCTTCTTTAATACCTATAATTCTTATGTTGCATTTCCTCATTGACTGGGATATTTCTCTGAGGCTTTCTTCATTTCTTTTTAGTCTTAGCTCTCTCTCCTCCTGTCTGGAGCATTTCAACATGTCTATCTTCGATTATGCTGATTCACTCCTCTATGATGTCCACTCGAGCATTCAGGGAATCCGTATTTTGTTTTGTCTGTTCCATTGTGTCTTTCATCTCTAACATTTCTGATTGATTCTTCTTTATAGTTTCAGTCTGTTTTGTGAAGTAGCTCCTGAAGTCATTGAATTGTTTCTCTACATTCTCTTTTACCTCATTGAGTTTTTTGATGATAGCTATTTTGAATTCATTGTCTTTTAGCTTACATATTTCTGTGTCCTCAGGACTGAGTTCTGGGTACTTGTGGTTTTCTCTCTGGTCTGGAGATTTGATGTAGCGTCTGATGTTGGAAGGTGGGCTCTTCCTCATTCTGATATTATTCGGTTGCAGTTACAGCCTATTGCCACTGGGTGGGGGTTGAGAGCTGCGTATTCTGAGCCCTCCGCCTTCAGCCGAGATGGTGTGGCACCTGTTGGGGGTGGGGCACTGTCTCCTGCATGCAGTCCCAGGTTTCCTGATCAGCTCTTGCTTTCTGCTCTCCTGGGATCTTGGCTTGATGAGGTCACCCCACGGGAAAGCTTTTGCCCTGTTAAAGGGCTTCCCTCTAGGCTGCAAGACTATAGGGTGTCCTTGGTGATCCAGCAGATAAGCGACCCCTTCCCTGCTCCTTTGCTCTTGGAGCCTCCCACAGCAGCTACCACAGTCTTTAGAGGAGGGAGTGAAGCTCTGTCTTGCCCTGTTCCAGCTCTTCCAAGTGGTGATCCAGCCTCTCCGCCCTCCCTCATGTGGCTGCTGTGGCTCTCCGAGGATTTTTGTGCTTTTAGGGTATTTTCTGTTGGAATATGGCTACTCTTTTTTGTTGTATGTTGGAGGGGAGAGAGTCCCAGGCAAGTTCACTCTGTCATGATGCTGACATCATGCCTCCACATCAGTGTTTTGACCTCAAATGTGAAAATGCACATCCTTCCATGGCTCTCTCTATACTCCCTCTACTAAGTCATCTGAGATGCTCAACTCTTCATGACTGAGGCAAAATGCACTGTATGTATCTTCACTAAGAATACATAAGGCCTATTCACTAATATCTTATCATGTGAATAAAAATTAATAAAAGCTTAGATTTAAACTAGTATAAAAATTAAATCTGAAAAACGATCATGATATAAAAAGGAACAAGAAGGTATTAACTTTACTAATCTAGCTGCTTGTCATTCTCTTGACACTCTAGTAAGTTACATGAGAATACACAAAATCTAAACTCCAAGATAAAATGGAAATTCAATTGTAAAACAATTCGATTTTTTTAAGTTGAATAAATGGTTTTTAAATCAGTGTTTGGGACAAGTTGATGCAGAATTAATTAGCACTACTTTTGAAACAGGATTAAGGAATAAAAGAAAAATGCCTTTCAATGGCCAAACAAAGTATCTAAGATAAATCCTTCCACATTTTAGCAGCATCTGGAAAATAATTATAAATTATTCAAATTTAAGAAACAAACAACCACACTGAGGAAAAAACTTAATACTCTTTCTGAAACACTAAAAAAACCCAAAATGTGTGTACTTCAAAGGATCAATATGCTACACTGGCACTATGGCCCATAATGTATTTGGAAAAATACAAGATTCAATTTATTATTTCATCACTATAATTTTAATCAGTAGGCATATTAATATCACATATTTTTAATATAAATATTTTTTAAAGCTGTGTTTTACAATATGATATCAAGAACACAGAGCTGATATAGGTTATATAGGTAATCATTTTGACTGTGTAAGAAATTTGATCAGAATACTGTTATGGCAAAAGGAATGACCCCTCTTTTTAATCATTCGTATTCAGCAACAGTAAAGTGCTCTGCGTGCACACTGGCTCTGAATACACACCTCACTTCTGTTTCACACCTGCAATGCTATCCATCACTGTTTTGATGATTACACAGTTCAGCATAAAAATGCATCCCACTCAGATTCTCCGGAAGACTGATTAGGCAGATAACCTCCCAAGCACAAAAGCTTTTATTTTAAGACAGGTATTATGCAAATATAACACGGAAATCAGACTCGCTGTAATTGGGATAAAAAGACAACTGTAAGAACTCTGTACATTTAACACCTATCACATTTTTGTGCACTCATCTTGCATTCCCTCTTTTTTCCTCCTCTCTGAAGTGCTAGATTAAAATGTATTTACACTACAGTAACTAACGGGCTTAATATGAGAGAACTACATGTTTGAGAAAGCAAGACTTTCTAGGAAGAAATCTCTAAATATTTTCCATATTATATGTTTTTATAGCCTTCCTTATAAAGATGGAGTTTTGTATATGCAACACCTGCAGACAGAAATCTACATTTCACTCAAGTCCAATCGAATATATCAAATATAAAATAGAGACATGAAGCGACCTATGACAGCAGCAGTGATTCTTGGGGCAGCATATGCAAAATCCAGTATTTTGCTATTTATATCATAGTGGTCAGAAAAGAAAGGTGCCAAAACTCCCTTTCCCATTCCACTTGAACTGGTTCCCCACAATCGAAACAAACATCTCCTGTGACATCAAGTTGTCATCAGCTTGCATGATCCCCAGCTCACTCAACCTTTTCTTCTTCATCTGGCCCTTCTGTGTGGAGGCTGCAACTAGGTAATTTACAATTTCACAATTGTCTTCAACTTGCTCAGAAAGGTCAGATCTTGCATAAAGCTCCATTTTACCAGTTGCACATTGAATCAGCTTGTCTAGTTCCACTCTTTCAGCTGCACTCGCCTCTTCACTGGTCTGAATTTTAAGTGCATTATTTTCTAGAGAAACAAATTATAACAAATAAAGTTAAATATACAAACCAATCCAACTAAAACATATATATTTCTACAGTCTGTTAAAGCTTTCAGGCTTTTTCTGCTGAGGGTGCCTACTGTCACCTGACTGGATTTTACACTCTTTGCCATAATTATCTCAAAGAGCAGTTGTCTTACTCTTCACACCAAGGTTTCCTGACCCTCATATAGGATTACCAATTTTGAATTCTTTTATCTTGTTATCCTGGAATCTCATTCACTCAAAAGCCTTTTCCTGGATATTTACTACCCACTAAGACTTCTAGATGGCCCCTATGACGCCTGCCCCTGGTGGTACTTTCACAATCGTTAAATGGCAAAAGGGCTTTGCAGATGTAATTAAGGTTACTAATCAGTTGATCTTTAGAAAAGGAGACAATTCAGGCATACCTAACCTTATTAGGAGCCATTTAAAAGCAGGTTTTTTCTGGCTGGATGAAGAAGAGGAAAGCATGAAGCAATGTGAAGCGTGAAGAGATTTGCCTTGAGGGAGGTTCTCTGTTGCTGAGATGAAGGAGGTCAAGGGGCAAGGACCTGAGAGCAGCCTCTGGAAGCTGAGAGCAACCCCCAGCCAACAGCTAGCAAACAATGGCACCTGAGTCCTACAGCCTTGCAGGAGTGAATTCTGCCAACATGGATAAGTTCAGAAGCAGATTCTCTCCCCAGAGCTTTCAGACAAGAGCCCTGCCCAGCTGACACCTCAACCTCACCCTTGAGAGACCCTAAGCAGACAACCCAGCCAAGCCAACCTGGACTTCTGACCTACAGAACTACAAGGGAAATAGAAGCCCCAGATAACTGGAGTGGCTCCTGAAGGACAACAAGGGCTACTCATCATCCTGTGCACCATCCTCACCCATGCCTAGGCCCTATCTTCCTCTGACTGAGATTCCAGAGTGATCTGGGTCATGGCTTCAAATTCATGAATCTCCCACTGAGTTAGCTCAGCTTTGCTGTCAAGAAAGACAGTTGACAAGGAGTCATGTACTTCTACCAATAAAAAATAGAGGCCAACTCCATGATCCCCTCCAGTAATGCAGGCTTCAACCCGCACATTCACTTCTCTGCCTCCATCCTTAACAAATGCCAGCAGAGGCCACCATTGCCATCATATGCCCATCCTTATTCTACAAATTTATAGAAAGCCAAGCATGATGAGAAGGGACTTGCAGGACCACAGAAACCACACATCAATGTTTGAATGAATAGTTGAACTAGTTGATCTGGAAAAATTTTTTTTTTTTGGAGGAGGATTATCCCTGAGCTAACATCTGCCAATCCTCCTCTTTTTGTTGAGGAAGACTGGCCCTGAGCTAACATCCGTGCCCATCTTCCTCTACTTTATATGTGCGATGCCTACCACAGCATGGCTTGTCAAGCAGTGCCATGTCTGCACCCGGGATCTGAACTGGCGAACCCCAGGCTACTGAAGTGGAACGTGCACACTTAACCACTGCACCATCAGGCTGGCCCTGACCTTAGAAATTTCTTTTCCCCTGAGATTCTATAATGTTATAGCTTTACCATGCCTCTCTTTCTCCACACCCAAATGTATGCCAGTTTTCCTTTTTAAGGAGGAAAGGAAGACTCAGATTTTTAATCAGAGTTTAATGCTGAAATAAAGTAAATTAAATCTGGTTTTTATTTTTAAAAATTACCAATTATAGCATACCTTCAGTTTCATCTTGGACACTTTCTTGCAGGTCAAAGAAAATTGTAGGTTTCACCAAGATAATGCCATAACCTTCATTATTGTGTATGACATTATTCACCATGGATATTTTGGAAATGTCATAATGCTCATCTAAGAAGTCCTGTGACATTGAAAACAAACATTTTAAGGAACATTCAACACTGCCTGCTTTAAAAATCCTCTCACTTTTTTCAGGATATTCTAAAAATAAAGTAGAAAGTTAAGCTTATTAATATGTGGTAGCACAGTCTGAGCTCTAAGGGACACAGCATTCCTCTGTCATTTTTGCAGATCTATAGATAGTAAAGTATTCTCATGAGAGAGTTCCAATCACCAACTATTGAAACAACAGAACCCAACGTGGGAATTTAATAAAGTCTAACTCTGTCTTAGGTGAAACCATTCCCTTTGGAACGAGGGCATTTCAGCAGGTGCTCATCTTTATGAGGATCCCTTCCTTGCAGTGAGGGATCCCATTGTCACTCAGGGTGCACTTACTCCCAGGATATATTTCTATACCAGCACCCTACAAGTTACATTTTAAGATATTGACAATCAGTTTTTAAAAGGCAGGACTATACAAGAAGGTTTATTACAACCACTTCTTAGCCTTTAACATAGTGCAAATATAAAGTGTTATACAGAGAGTTTTATTAGGTATTTCTAATCAACATTTCCATTTGCTCCATTTCCAGAAAGATGCCTGTCATTTACCACTTTCACAAACACCACACACACAATACACTGGCTAGGAGTATCAACTTGTGATTACTGCTCCACTCTCTTTCATTCTGGACAATCAGTCTTCTGATCCTGCCTGCCTCCCCCAGAAAAAAAATTTCACTGAAAGATGCACTTATTCAAAATGACTAACCTCTCAGAGATATTCAGTTAGAGAACAATATTTGAGTATAGTAAAATATTGTAATTTGAGGATACAAATAAGACCCTATTTTTTTTAAAACACCACTTTTAAAATATCCCAACCTAACTTAAAAATCACATCTATGAATTAATTAATGGCCTCTACTACTACACAAATGTTAAAATTAGCAACCAACTCAAGTGTCTCATTTATACAGAGTCACCAGAAAGATCTATGCATGGTCCAATTCTCTCACACCGTCCCTCAGCACCACATGGTACCAACAAGAAAGTAACAGTAACAGGAATAATTTATTTCCTCATACCATGCTAGGTACTTTGGGAAGTAAAAATAATTCACTCAAACCTCTATAGTTATTTAAGAAATCATTTTTGGAATAATTTCATATGCAACATCATATTTGAAGAAGAGTTGTTTCTAAACATTTATGACACATCTACTGCATGTATGTTGTTTTTCTAAGAGTAGTACTGTATCATGAGAAAACATTTATTATTACTTCCCCTTTGGGGATTACTAGAACATATAGGGCTGAATGGCCCACTACACACCAACCCAACTCTCTATAGAGAAGTAAAAAGATCTGCTGGTTGGGCCTTCAGCTAAGAGATTTCATTTTGGGGTTATGTACAAAAAAGGTTTAGGGACAATAACATTAAAAATACATATACAACAAAATAGTTAAAATTAAATATCAAATTATCAGGAATCACGTAAAACTTAAAAAAGGAGAATAACTTAAGCCAGCAGCTACCTAGCAAACCAAAACCAAGAGGTCATAAATGTCATAATTAGTTGACAATGATTTGAAAGCAGCCATGGAAAAAATGCTTTAATGAGCAATTATGAACATACTTAAAACAAATGAAAAATGAATGTCTCAGCAAAGAAACAGAAGATATAAAGAACCAAATGGAAATTTCAGAACTGAGAAAGACAATAACTAAAATAAAAAGCTCCGTGGATGGGCTCAATAGCAGAAAGGAAAGAACCAGTGAACCAGAAGATAGAATAGAAATTGCCCAGTCTGAACAAGAGAGAAATGCCCTGAAAATAGCAGTGAGCAGAGCCTCAGGGGCCTGTGCGACTACAATATAAGATCCAAAATGCGTGTCGTCAGGGTCCCAGAAGGATCTAAATCTGTCTTAAAGTTATAGAGAAATTGAGAGATGTATTATTTTTCTTCCTAATCTCTGTTTTGAAAATGCTAAATAAGAACTTTATAGGGGCCAGCCGGGTGGCGCTGTGGTTAAGTTCACACATTCCACTTTGGCGGCCCAGGGTTCACCAGTTCGGATCCCTGATGCAGACATGGCGCCATTTGATAAGCCACGCTGTGACAGGCGTCCCACATATAAAGTAGAGGAAGATGGGCATGGATTTTAGCTCAGGGCCAGGCTTCCTCAGCAAAAAGAGGAGGATTGGCAGCAGATGTTAGCTCAGGGCTAATGTTCCTAAAAAAAAAAAAAAGAACTTTATAGAATCAAGTCTGGCTGACTTAGTACATATAAGTGTCTGAACTTCTTGGAAGAAAGAGAACAAGAGTATGTATTTATATCTTGGTCCCACATTCTATTTGCTTACTTAGAACTTAACCCTAAACTACTTCCCCAAAGGATAAGAGATTATCATACCTTTGCACCACATAAATCTGAATTCTTCATTAAAAGTTCTGCTGATGTTCGTACTGTGACCCCTGTAGTTTCACACTGCAGTACACAGTTTTCCAACGTCGTCTTGCCATGGTGAATGACTACGATGAAAACATGCAATCAAATGCTTTAAGAAGTAATCTATCTTTTCCAATATTAGACATGGCCTAGAGTTAACATTAGATATAGTCTAAATATTTCTCAATAGCTATCATTTAAAATTTGTTACTGGGATTACAAATTCATAACTTACAAAATAATGACTATTTTGAGTTATTTTCTAAACTCTAAAAGCAGCCTTCTTAAAAAAGAAGGACTTGACCTCAGAAATGCAAAATCAAGTTAAAAAGCACTTTTCATTACAAAAAAGTATCAGAAAGCAACTTTCATGAGTATCTTGAAAGGGAGAGGAAAAGGAGGCCCAATTCAAGAAAGGATCCTAGGAACAAATACCAGCACAGCGTGAGGACGGCGGGTTTGAGTGCAAGGCGAAATCGAATACGAAGAACACAGCCAATACCGGAATGTCTTAAAAGAAAAAAAGTGATCACACAGAAACCAAATTTCAAGAATAGGCTGAACTATTTTTCACGTTAGAATAAGCCTCCTAAGTGATCATGCTATGTACATAATCAACCTTTCATATACTCAGGAATGGTGTTTTATTAAATTGTATTTTCCAGAGAAAGTAAGGTTTTCTTTCAAAGCCTAAAACAAATAATACATGAAATATTCAGACACTTACTTAAGATTCCTTCTACAGCATCATGCTGAACAAATTTTATGCTTGAGATTTTAATATCTGTGCCCGTACAATCCACAAAAATGTCTCCTTTGCCCCTCTTTTCTATCACAATATCATCTGGTAGACCATATCCTAAGGCAGAGAGCAAGATTTAAGAGGAGTGAGAGGAAACGTCCAATCACAAAACTGCTACAATAGCAAATGATCTCAAATGATCCAAATGATATTTGAGACCAGTCAACCCAGTGGCATTTAAATAAAACCTAACTGTCTCCCCACATACCTTGTTTAATTTAAACCACGTGTACAATTTTTAATAACAACTCAGTTTGCCCATGTATCAGGAAAACTACGCTATCAACCATCTTAGACCAGATCAGCACTAAATTCACCTACAAAAAACTACTTTAAAAAAATAAATAATCCTAAGTACTCACAATTGGTCAAAGGGCTTTGAAGCATTTAGCCCTTATAAGCCTTTTTTCCAACTGTAAGATTCTATTTTTCTAATATAAATTAGGTTTGAAAAAGCCTAAGCATTTCTCAAGATTTTCTAATTTTAATATTCTCTTAAACAGATTGACTTAAAATAGTTTTAGCTTTTGGAAAAATTGGTCTATCTTGTTAACCAATAAACTACATTGGATCTCTAGAAATCTTAATCAAACTAATAACTCAGGCCAGACCTCTGAATGAGCTTACAAAAAACTGGAATATCAGAAAACTAGAGAATTTGACTGACTTTCATCATAAAACAGAACCACATAGAGCTATAAGAAATAACTCTCATTGTCTAAAATGAGTCTTTGCTTGAGGAAATGAAGCAGTAGCTACATTAAACAGGCAAAGTCACTGAGGTTCCCCATCCTTGAAGAGTGCAGACCACTCTTGGAGGCACTAGAGAATGCAAGGACCCGAGACCCCGTGATGCCACCAGTGATGGACTCCGGATGACTGGATTATGAGTAATTTTTTTTCTGATTCTTTTTATGCATCTGTCTGTACTTTCCACATTTTCTAAAATAACCGTTCTTTTTTTATCATCCAAAAAATAAAAAATACAAAAAGAATTGCCACATTAAGAAAAAAACAGATTATTACATAAACAAGTTATGTATTCTTAGTAGTTTAAAACAAAACCATCACCTAAGTGAATGGATGTCCTAAATAAGAAAGAAAAACCCTACTATAAGTATTGTTAATACCCTACACATAGTAGGAGCTCAACATATTTCTCTTATTTTAAGTGTTACCTACAGGTCAGATAAGCTAGCAGACAAGCCTGATCTTACTCATGAACAAGTACTCCCTACATCACACTAGAGATACCATCTGATTCCCCAGATTCTCAGAAATGCCCTCTACCAGTAAATTTACAGTCATTTTTACACTTAACTATCAGAATTCTATATCGTTAGTTACGACATTTTGGCAATTACAATTTCCTCACCAATCTAGGAAGAACTCTTACCCACCACTCAATCTATAATATTAATGCTATTTTCAATATGCCAAAAAGTAAAGTGTTTTTATTGCAATGATTTATCCTACAAATGTGTTATTTATACACATACATCTATTATATATCAAATATTGGAGAAGAGAAAGAACAAAAATTACACACACAAAACAAAAAAGGGGTGAGGTGATGTACGAGTGAACAGCAGGCAATGAAACCCTGAATGGAACAGCCTTGCTTCCATTAAGAAGTGCTGACGATAAAGATAAACACAGCTTAACCAGTTTGTGAACAGCTGCGCAAGTCCCAAAATGATACATGACTTTTTGCTTTATTCCTAACTTGAAGTTCTTTTGGTAAATGATTGAGCAGGTGCAACTAAATTTGACACGTTATGGAAATATACAGGACCAAGATGAAGGACTGCAAAGTAACCTAAATTTAGGAACCACTCTAAATGTACAGTAAGATTATAACTGCTAAAAAGTTACTTTTTTGTAAAGACTTTATTTTTCCTTTCTCCAAAGTCCCCCAGTACACAGTTGTGTATTTTTAGTTGTGGATCCTTCTAGTTGTGGCATGTGGGATGCCGCCTCAGCAAGGCTTGATGAGCAGTGCCATGTCCGTGCCCAGGACTTGAACTGGGAACACCCTGGGCCACCAAAGCAGAGCGTGCAAACTGCACGAACTTAACCACATAGCCATGGGGTCGGCCCCTAAAAAGTTACTTTTAATAGAATCTTTCAACATGAAAATGCAACGTGTAGAATTTGTGACACTCAGCAAAGTCTTAAAGAATTAAAAGATTTTTGATCCATTTTCAAGTTGGACCTATACCTCTCACAAAAATGTGCTAAATTTAAAACAAAAAAAAATGCACCAATATAGCCACAACATATACAAAATAAGAATAAGCAACAAATAAAAAAATACTAAACTTTAAAAATATATTGCTGAAAATATTCTATGAAAATAGAAATGAGATTTTCTTTCCATAAACCACTTCGAATCTGGAAAGTATGGTTCTTCCTAATGGTCCTCTTTCTCTGTGTTTGCCTTCCCAACACATATAAGGCTGCAAAGAACCACACGTCAAGTTGCTCAAGCACTGAGTCAATCCCCTGGACACTTGAAACACCCCTAATGCTTCCAGGCAACACATCCTCAGTCAAGTGAGCTGCAATCCTATTCCTGGAGCTTCAACAAGGTCAGTGACGGACCGTTTTCTTCAGCAGATCATGCATGAGAGTTTGGTTGTATGATCTTCATATTCACCTTCCAACTCAATGGAGTCAGCAATGGAGAATGTGCCATGTACCACGTAATGGCCAGGACAAACAATAACAGTGTCACCTTCATAGCAGGCATTTATAGCAGACAATGGATCACCATGGAACTGGAAAACAACAACATATTGCAAATGTGCACCCCCAAAAGCAACCTGAGTATTCCTGCATGCGCCTCTTGTTTCCTTTGAAAAGGAAGCCAAAACTGCCTAGTAACTATTTCCTTTGCTACTGCACTGAGCCCAACGCAGGCTGGTAAGTGACTGGTGCTGATGGAAGGCAGCACTCGCACTACTTCCCACTGCCCAGAAAGCAGCTCTGGGAAGCTCCTGTCAACATACTCTGCACAATTCAGGAAAACCTGGGGTGGATGCGAAGGGGAAAAAAACCACCTGCAGCAAGAAATTTTACCTGAATCTCTATTGCTTCCTTACTAGGCTCCTGACAAAGCCTGTCCCTGAGCAGGGACCACAGCAGACCAGTCATCATGGTGCAGGCAACCACATGGGTGACCTTCTGACCATTTGGACGGACGCCCTTTGCTTGGACATTACAATTCTTCTGATAACAAAACACATATCTTAAAGAAACCAAACAGACCTATCAGTTCTCAGTAAGAGAGCTGGTTAGAAAAGATGCCAACCAGCTAAGAAGGACAAATATGTACCTCAACAAAGGATTCTCAATGAGTTTTAGCTTTTGTTTCAACTGTTCGATCTCTGAATACAATTTTAACCCTTCCACCATGGGGATGTTTTCCTGCTCAGAATCAGAGCTACAGTTTGACAAACTGCTTCTCAGATTTAAAAATTTCCTGTAACTCGCTTCACATTGAGACAAGAGATTGCGGTAGTCAACAATAAGTCCCGAAGGAACTCGGTTTTCAAGGATGTCATAATGCCTGCAAGTTTAAAAGTAAATTGAAATCTACTGCCTTTCAGACACATTTTCTTATCACTAAGACAGTCCATTTACTCCTCAAAGGCTCAGTAAGAAAACTGTTTTATAGTGTATAACTCAGGTATGTTAAGTCTTTCTGAACAGCACTCTGAGTGGAAGCTGTTGAAAGTTCTAAGCACCGCTTCACTAAGGTCACTAATTGTTCTTCTTTTGAGAAGTTGCTATTTTTTTCTTAGGTGTAAGCGTTTGTGCTTTAGAAACACTGAAATTTCATGTTGCACAATTTGTATTATTCGTATTTATATCATTATTTAATAAATTATTTTCTCATATAGTAGATTCAAAATCATAAGTGGATGGCAGAAGGCAATCTAGGGTGGAGGTGGAGAAGGAAGTATCCCAAATAGTTTCTTAACAATGTTTAAGATTATCATATTTATAAGATCAAAAATTAAAAATGATTCAAATCATCTAGTCCTTCCTCACATTTAAGGCACTATGGCACAAAATTATGCTGAATATTCCCTCAGGAAGATTTTGGAGTCTTTCAAAAGCATAATAAGCCTTTGAGATTCTGGGAGAAAAAAATAAAACTTTCATTACTAGAGAGTGATTAAAACAAAATAAATTTGTACTGGACAACCTTATTGGCACTTAAAATTTATTATTAATTTATATAACTCATCAAATGTATAGGCAGAAAAAAAGTACTTCTAGATGCCATAAAATAATTTATGAATGTACAATCAAGTTAATGGATGTGAAATTAATGGATTTGAAAATAAACTGCAATATTATTGTCATTATCTGTAGTTGTAAAATAATTCCTTTATTTTTCATTGAAAGTATATTGATTAGCTATGCCGGAGGCCAGAGCCTCTCAACCTTGGCTGCATATTAGACTCACTGGGGAGCTTTTAAACATACAGATGCTCAGGTCCCCATCCAGACAGATTAAATTGGTCTCTAGAAGTAGAAAGGTATTTTTGAAAGTTCCTTGGGGATTCTATTTATGTATTTATTTTTAAAGATTGGCACCTGAGCTAACAACTGCTGTCAATCTTCTTTTTTCTTCTTCTTCTTTTTCTCCCCAAACACCCCCAGGACATAGTTGTATATTCTAGTTGTGGGTGCCTCTGGTTGTGCTATGTGGGACACCACCTCAGCATGGTCTGATGAGCAGTGTCATGTCCATGCCCAGGATCTGAAGTGGTGAAACCCTGGGTCGCTGAAGCAGGGGGCACAAACTTAACCACCCGGCCACAGGGCCAGTCCCTGGACCCTTGGGGAGTCTAATGTGCAGCCAAGGTTGAGAACTACTGCCTTAGATGATGTTTTTTTCACTCACTCATGCTCTAAATAAGATGGGGGAACAAAACAGAACCACATCCTAAGCATACTTACATCAAATTATAGTGAACATTCAAACAGTATTTAAAATGAATAAATAATAAATTTATGTTTGCTTTTCAAGTAAATGAATTAGGTAAAGCTTATAAAGCAAGGATTTCATCTACTTTGGTTAATCCACACTCACTTAAAGATATTCTAGAAATCCACTTCCCAAACAAGAGGATCAAACCTCTGACTGCTTGATCAGGTCTATTAAGTTACAGAGATGAAGACTCATATTTTAAAATAAGTTTCTTAGCATTTCAATATCTGTGCCAATCAGCTTCTTTCTTGTCATTATAGTGATACTTTGTAGTGTGGAAGCAGTGAACCAACATCTGTGTCTCAGATACATGAGCTTTGAAGCAGGGTGTTTCAAATTACAAAGAAAAATATTTACCACACTGTGCAAAATCCGGACAATATGGTCCGATTCCCTTTATTTTATTTTATTACTTTTTTATAAATTCTTTTTTTTTTTTAAGATTTTATTCTAATTTTTTTTTCCTTTTTCTCCCCAAAGCCCCCCAGTACATAGTTGTGTATTCTTCATTGTGGGTCCTTCTAGTTGTGGCATGTGGGAAGCTGCCTCAGTGTGGTTTGATGAGCAGTGCCATGTCCGTGCCCAGGATTCGAACCAACGAAACACTGGGCTGCCTAGCAGCGGAGCACGCGATCTTAACCACTAGGCCACGGGGCCAGCCCCGGCCCGATTCCCTTTAAATCTTGCCTGTTGACAGCTCTACTCCTGTCTTAGCCCAGGGACTTTTATAAAGAATCTGCCTACGTTTGATAACATTCTAGTTTCTCTATCACATGTCAAAGTTTCTTCTCAATAACTAAAAGCAATTCCTCCCATATGCTTTCCCATCTGCCAGTGATGTACAAGGTATGTGCATAAATCATTTCTTGCTGCTCAAACATGTAAGGCTGTCAAATCGGAATAGAGTTTTTTCCAAGTAAAGGTCAAATTTGCCAGATACTTGATATTCACCCAACATCACATCTCACTTCAATCAAAATCAATCACTGCTCTTTAAGAGCAAGTGTATCAAAATTGGAAAATATGCAAATTTGTTGAAATGATGGCATTTTATTGAATACACTATGGGAAAATAGGAAATGCACAATGGAAAAATTGGAAAAGCTAAATAGAAATCACAACCAATTTATGAAGAGCTGAAATCAGACACGCACAGTTCTAAACCAGGTAGAACCATTAACCAGACTTTTCACATATTTTTTACTTTACTATTTAAACCAAGAGAAACTTACTAAGTCAAACTGGATTCCAAAATGTAGAGGGTTACAGTCTTATCTCATGTAACCAAACCATCTTTCATACAGGGAAAAAAATTACCTTCTACAATTTTTTTAGAATGCAACTTCTAATTGTATTTTTATTGCTGCACTGTCTGTTAAAAGACTGCTCATGAATATAAGAAAAATTACCCGGGCTTCGAGCCCCATCTAGTGGAGGCTGAATGCCACATTGAACAAAGTCAGTGAATAACAACCATTTGGGTTGCATGGTTGATGCTTGGCATTTTTGTATGGAAGGGTTTTTCCCTACCAAGATACAATAAATTAGAAGAAGAATGTGTTTAGGTATTTTGAAAATTTTTATTCACCACTAATATTAACTATTTAGTATGTTCTCTATTTGTCAAATAAGATGTAAGGACAAGAACTTGACAAGACATCCTGAGATAAATCTGTTCACTTAGCCTAGTGTGTTTTAGTGTAGGAACTTACAGTAAAGCCATATATCTTTAAAAGTACTCTTTAAAAAAAGTCTTCTATAATCAATTTAATTTCCCTGTTTTTCAAACGACTGTCTTTGAATTTAACACATTAGTTCAATTGAGTTTTATTCAGATTTACAAAAGTTGTATGTTGTTGAATTCTGTTTCTTTTTTCTAAAGATTGGCACCTGAGCTAACAACTGTTGCCAATCTTCTTTTTTTTTTCCTGCTTTTTTTCCCCAAATCCCCCCAGTACATAGGTATATATTTTAGTTGTGGGTCCTTCTAGTTGTGGCATGTGGGATGCCACCTCAGCGTGGCCTGACGAGTGGTGCCATGTCCACACCCAGGATCCGAACCAGCAAAACCCTGGGCCACAGAAGCAAAGCATGTGAACTTAACCACTCAGCCACAGGGCCAGCCCCATGAATTCTCTGCTTTTAGACTCAGTTTCTAAACACTAAAAGTAGGTTTCTCTGCACTTGTACAAATTCCATATAGTAACTCGTCGATGGGTTGTACTATCTGTACGTCAGTCTGTTTCAGTCTGGCCCCTGACGTATGTACACACACAGGTAAAGTTAAACCATGGGTAGCTATTTTTCCAACATGTGCAAGGTTACTAAGGAATACTTACAATCTCAATCGAGGTTCAACACATCTGACAAAATAATCGTACTCATCCTCCTCTTCTTCATCCCAACTCCTCCAAATGTTTTGGTAAAAAAACCTGAAAAGGAAAGTAGCATCATTCAAATTCAATCACTGGCTCAAAATGTTAGGGTTTTGGAGGAGTGAGAGCTAACAAGTAAATCCAAACAATTCTACCATCCACGGTGGAGAATGCTGCAGATTTGCTAGACATGCTTGATAATCATGAGTCCTTCTTCAGATGGGAAACTTCTTTAGAAGTTTCTCTACAACCCTGGTTCTGGTAGGACTGTCTTTTTATAAGAACTATTTATTGACCATCTGTAACCAGGTGGATGGTAGTGCCATTTGTTGAGACAGAAAAAACTAGGAGAGAAACAGGTTTGGGGTTGACAATAAAGAGTTCTGTTTTTGCCATGTTCCAGTTGAGATGCCTGTGTGACCTCCAAGTGGATGATGTCTGAGTGCAGAAGAACACATAGCCCAGAGCTCAAGGGAAGGGCCAGGGCAGGAGACACAAATCTGGGAGTTGCCAGCATGTCAATGGCATTAAAGCAAGAGATGAGATCATCTAGGGACATAATATAAAGCAGTAGTTCTCCACCCTGGCTGGACATTAGAGGCCCTGGGAAGCTGTTAAAATGGATTCCCAACCCTATCCCAGACAAATAAATCAGATTCTCTTGAGGCTGGCGGGGTGAGGGGGCGGCGCACAGCGGCCATGCGTGTGCAGGATCCATATTTTTTTTTAAAGTGCCCAAGTGATTTCACAAATTTTGTATTATGGAAAATTTCAAACATATACAAGAGCAACTAGAATCATGAATATCATGGACCCATCACTCAGCTTCAATAGTTATCAACTCACGGGCAATCTTATTTCCTCTCTACCCCATTCCCCTTACTTCTCTGCTCCCCTCCCCTCACCATCCTGACATGGATTATTTTAAAGCAAATCTCAGACATCTCATTTCATTCATAAATTTTCAGTATGGACCTCTAAAATAAATCTTTATACCAAAAAAAAATGTTTTTAATTCCTTAATATCCAAATATCCAGTCAGTGTTCAGTTTTCCCTACTTGACTCTTGTTGCTGTTTTACACTTGGCTTGTTCAAATGAGGATCCAAACAATGGTCAGCCACTGCCTTTAATTAAATCACTTTCTTCTATAGATGACCCCTCCCTCTTTTTCTTCTTGCAATTTATTTAATAGTTTCCCACACTCTGAATTTTGTTGATTGCATCTCTATAGGGTCCTTTAACATGTTCTTCTGTTCCCTTTCTTTCCAGTAAACTGATAGTAAGATCTAGAGACTTGATCAGCTTTAGGAAAGCCTTTTTGGCAAGAATACTTCAAGGGAAGTATAATGTAATTCCATCAGGAAGCACATCATACCCGGTCATCTCTTTTGATAATGAGGTTAAGAACAATCAATGGATTAAATCAATGATCAATGGGGCTGTCAGCCTGATCCATCTACTATAAAGGTCCCTATCAGTTTTTTGCCAGTGGTTGTAGCCATTGATGATCATTGCCTTGAACCTTTATTTCATTACTGGTTGCAAAATACTGATATTCTGATCCTATCATTCTTTCTTCATGTATTAGTTGGACTACTCCTATAAAGAAAATTCCAAGGTTATTCTAACATGCTTGCAATGCTGATTAGAAAGAGAAAAGAACAGACAGCCTAAAACTGATCCTTGGGTAACTCCAAACATTCTAAAGTTTGAGCATGAGAGGAAAAGCCAGCCAAAATGACTAAGAAAGCAAGCCAATAACACACTATCAGAATGTTGGTGTCCCAGAAGCTGGGAGGAGAGTGTGTTAAGAAGATGGGAATGATTAGATAACTAGAATGTGACCAAGAGGTCAAGCAAGATGAGATCAGAGAAGTGACAACTGGATACAAGAACATGGAGGACTTTGGTGACCTTCAGCACAGTTTCAGGGGTGCTGCAGGGAAAGAAACATTACTGGAATGACAGGAAATTCAGACTGTGACTATAAGTCTGTCAAGAAGTTCTGCTGTGAAAAGGAAGGAACAGTGAAAATGAAGCCATCTCTTAATTCTTGTAGGTTGAACTGCCGATCTCTTTACTTTCTAGAATCCATCTTTAACAAAACAAAACAAAACAAGAACCTGAGCATGCCTTTGCCAGATAAAGAAACTCTGCTGGCTCCTTCTTGCCCTCAGAATAAAGTCCAAATTCCTGAGCCTGCTGATAGTCCATGGATTCAGTCTGGCCCTAGAGCCTCTCTTGCCTCAGAACCCCCGCATGCAAACTCCTAATTTCACAAGCTCTTTCAAACCTCCATGTGGCATGCTGGTCAGACTGCCAGAAGTGCCTTCCACCTTCTCCACCCGGGAAGCTGATATTTACATTTCATGACCCAGCCCTGCTATCATCCTCAGCAGTACCATGTTGGGCATTCACAGATCATTCACATCTGCACCTCCTCCTGTGTTTATTCTCTCAAGACACAAACTTGGGAGTCAACCTTGACTTCTCCATATCCACTCATATCTCCTCATCCCTGATATCCACTCCACCACCAAGCCCTAGCCATCCCACTTTCTTAGTGAGCCTGACTCTGTCCTCTCCGTGTCCCTCCTTGAGTCCACTCGCTTGCCTCTTAACTGGTCTCCCTACTCCATCTCCCTCCACTTGTCTTCCACATGGCAGCCAGAAGGAACCTTTGAAAACACAAAGCGGATCATATTCACCCTTGAATGAAAACCCTTCAATGGTTTCCCACTGCTCTTACTGACAAAAACGATTAATTGGCTAGCAGCCCTGCATCTTCTGATCCCTGACAAGCTCTCCACACCAGTTCCCTGAGTCTCTCTCATTACCGCCTGTGTTCCAGCCATGCTGGCCTCTCAGCTCCTTGAGCGCACTGAGCTCCTGAACCATCTGTTCCCTCCCCCACCCCTGTCAGAAGCCCTTTGACCTGCCAAGTTCAGACTCAAGTTCAAATGTCATCTGCTCAAGTTCAAATGTCATCTGCTCAGGCAATAACCACGTAACAGCAACCTGATCCAGTCTTAGAACACTGTAATTCTTCAGAGCACTCACTGCAGTTTCCAATCACGTATATATCTTTGTGCAATTATTTCATCCAGGGTCGTCTCCCACCTGTAGCCTTACAGCTCCCTGGTGATGGTGACCATGTCTGTTCCATGCACCAGTCAAATTTTACCCTCAACTCAGAACCAGCACTCAAGTATTTATTGAATAAATGAACAAATGAAAAACCTCATAATTTGACCTTTCCTGTGCACTGACCTCAAAATGAAGAATATATTTAGCCACGCTCTCCTTCAAATAACACCACTACTAATTCCAGATGCTTGTCTTTCTACAACTTCTATACACATAAGACATTAGCTCTCTGATTCCTGATTCCCTAAACTCATCAATTACTCCTTTACCTTCAAATGCTTCAATTGACAAATTATTATCAGTGAGAGAAACATAAGGGAGTTATTTCAGTCTGGACAGAAGTCAGTTCTTTAGATTTGTATTGCTTGGCCTATTATTGAACATCTAGGGTTAAATGTTCTGACATACAATTAAAAATTTTCAATGAGATGTCTTGGAAGCAGGACCCAAGACACTATGCTTCTTTGTAGAGCATTCAAATTAAGCTCAGCAAAACTAGGTTAACTCACTAATGGTATAGAAACAGGAAAGTACTTTTTAAACTAGAAAACACCAAGGAATATTATTAACATGATCATTATATTATTCAGTCTTCCAGTTCCTTGAGGAACATAAGTCCATTTTTAAATAGCCAAAAGTAAGCCTTTCTTAGTGAGTAGATTTATATACAGAAGATCCAAAAGAACTATCTATATCAGCAACTATATGACAGAAGATTTATCTGAAAAACTGAAAAAAGTACCTATTAATTCAGGTATGGGCTTTCTTTCTCACTGAAAGGAGAAGGGGTGCACTTATGCAAGTGGAAATCAGTTATGTCAAAAAAGGATGAAAGGCAGGAGCACATCCCCTAAGGATCCTGGAAGGGGCCTGAGAAAACGCCTTCTTAGGCCAGACGCATCCTTGAAAACAATGTGTGCAGGCCTTATCAGCGCACAGGTCATGGTCCACCACCTTCTTCACTCCTTCCCTTTCCTCTCATATGCAAGTACATCAGCCATAAGCCTTAGCATCCAGAACTTTTAAGATAGTTTCTAAATATATGTAAACCAAATTAAGAATCCTCTATCCTTTGTTAACATTTGGGGACAATGAGTGAAAGCTATACAGGAACTCTTTGTAATATTTTTTTCAACTTTTCTGTAACTCTGAAATTATCTCAAAAGGAAAACTTCAACCATCTTTAAATGTTTTTTAATTTAGAAACGACTCTCCTGTCTTTGAATATTTTAAAATACTGCAATGACCACATTTACAGTTTGAATTTCAAATCTAGGTATAATACAGACCAGAATTACTGCATTTCGTCCAAAGTTTCTGGCCTCAGGTTATTTTTATCAACTCTCTTCCTACCTGACATGCTCAATTGCAAGTGCTGTCTGGTCAAATACTCCAGAATCATCAAAAACCACCCACAGCTCCTGCAGGGGCAGCCGCTGCTCCTTCAGCTCGAGGAGCTCTTGCATACACTCCAAGGTAAAAGTGCTCACTGGAGAGTCACAGAGGTACGGGTCAGCGAGGCTCACCACCGCCTTCAAGGCCACATAGTCCACATCTATGACCTGAAATTTAAAATAGTGCGACTTAACACACAGAAATCAAAATTAAGACACACAGAGGAAACACTGAAAAATCGCTCAGAATCCAAGTTCTACTTCAAAATAATAAGAACTTACCACCTTTCACAGGTCAGGTTTCTGGTGTTGTCTGTGAAGTTTTTCAGGGAGGCAGAGCAAGAGGGTTGTTTTCTATTTCAGTGGAAATCACCCACGTTCTCCTTCACAGGATCAGCTATGATTCTAACTACAGCTAGCAACTTACAATAGTCAAATATCTCACAGTCTTTTTTTCCCAAAACAATTGCACAAAGCTGCATTAAAGTAAAGAGCTCCCTATACTCCCTCTCAAACGAGTTGAAGCCTCCCTCTATTTCCACAACATGTCCGTCAATGGCTCCTCAATAAACAGGGATGAGAGATTCTCAACAACGCCTAAGGTTTACTTCACTAAAGCTTCTAGGCTCCTCCTCACTAATTTCAGTGACTGTACCTAAGGAAAAGATTAGAAAATGCTAATCACATTTGGTTTGGGCTGTATGTAATTATGTTTCATAAAGCTTCAAAATCATAAGATGTGATTCAGCCAGTGGCATGTCTATTTTTGTGTAATATGATGTTTTTAATTGACAAAACTACTAAATAAACAGTGGTGAGGGTAGCACTCAGACTGGCAAAGTAGTTTCCATAGGTGGTTTCAGGGAGGGCATCTGACACTATAATTAGCAGCAATCTTTCTCTCCCCCCACCTCTTACATTTTCTCCTTCCTTCGACTTCTTTGCCCCTGTTCAGCCACCAGAATTACTTGACCCAACAGATGACCAAAGGGTACTCATGGGGCTACGACTCACAAACACCAACGCACATGAGCCCCAGAGGACAGCAACACCTTACTGGCTTTGTGACAATCTCTCTATGCCTCAGTTTCCTCACCCATAAAGGGAAGGTATAATAGTATGCCTACTTCAAATAAATTAAGAGAATTAAATAATTTGTTAATCACTTACAACAGTACCCATCACATAGTATACATAAACGTTTGTTAAAGAAGTAATAACTTCACCTGACACCCATTAGGATGGCTACTATCAAAAAAACAAGAAAAACTATCAAGAAAACAAGTGTTGGCAAGGAGGCAGAGAAACAGGAACCCTTGTGCACTGCTGACAGGCAAGTAAGATGGTACAACTGCTGTGGAAAACAATATGGTGGTTCCTCAAAAACTTAAAAATAAAATTACCATATGACCCAGCAATTCCACTTCTGGGTACATACTCCAAAGAACTGAAAGCTGCATCTCCAAGAGATACTTGTACACCCATGTTCATTGCAGCATTGTTCACAACAGCTAAAACATGAAGCAACACAAGTGTCCATCGATGGATGAATGGATAAGCAACAAGTGGTATATCCGTACATCAGAATATCATTCAACCTTAAAAAGGAAGGAAATTCCGCAATATGCTACAACATGGATGAACCTCAAAGATATGCTAAGATAAATAAGCCAGTCACAGAAAGACAAATACTGCATGATTTCACTCATATGAGGTACTTAGAGTAGTCAGAATCATAAAGACAGGAAGTATGACGGTGGTTGCCGGGGCCTGGGGGGGGGGAAGGCGAGCTGTCCTGCACCGGGTGTAGAGCTTCAGTCTACAAGATGAAAAGAGTTACGGGATTGAATTGTGATGATGGCTATACAACAACGTTAATGTATTTAATACCACTGAACTGTACACTTAAAAATGATTAAGAGGGTAAATTTTATGTTATGTGTATTTTAACACAATAAAAAAAGAAGAAAAGAAAGAATACCTTACTTCAGCACCATTCTTTACAGCCACTTTGAAAGTATCCCTTTTTCAAACATTATTTCACTTCATCTTCAGCACTCCGTAGGACCATTGGCTCTGTTTTCCAGATAGGAAAACTGAAGCCAAGTGACTTCTGCCAGGTCACAAGAGGGGTTGGTAGTGTAATTAAGTCACAATCATGTTTTCTCTCTGTCAAGACTCTTTCCGCTACACAACGCAACTGGAAATGTTAAACTAAAAACCTGAACCAGCTTAAAATATCAAGGAAAATAAATAAATAGTGGGATCTCAGTAAATAGGCAGAAAGGACTGAGAACTAGATCTGGGTTCTATTTTTAGAGTCTGTCCAAAGTTGGCTCCCCCAGCTTCCAACCTGTCACCCCTCCGTGCTCAGCGCAGTTATCTAGGCCAAGGGTTCCGGTTTCTTCTCTTTCGAGAAAGCGGAGTGTGGTTCAGGATCTCCTTCGAGACGCGGAGGAAAAAGACGGGCCCCCTCTCCACCAATCACGGCGCCCGAGCCTTCGGGAGCGCCCCGACAGCGGGCTGGGAGCTCCTGGCCCGGTCCCAGCCCCTCGGGCTCCAGGAAGCGGAGGCCAGACCGGGAGGGGAGAGGCGGGAGTTGCCCGGTGCCTCCCGACGCTGACGTCACGAGAGCGGCTGGGGCCTCGCACGGCCACCCCATCCCCTGGCCGGCGGGTCCGAAGGCCTCAGACAGGAGCCAGCGGAGGGACCCAGCGCCGCAGGCCGCGCGGACTCGGGCCGCCGCAGGAGGAGCTCCGCGGCTGGCAGGGCGGGTGCTCACCTTTCTCGAGGGGCGCCGGCTCCTCCTCGGCCGCCCGGCCTCTGCGCTCCGGGCCCGGTGCCATCGCCTCCGACCACAGCCAGCCATCTGCCAGCTCCCCGCCAGCCATTTCAAATTTCCGCGGACGGCGCCTCGCCCCGCGACGGGATGACGCAGGCGCCTCTGGTTGGAGACTGCGCCGAGGTTCTCGGACCAATGAGAGGAAGACTTGAGCTGCCCGTCTCCACACGACCCCACCCCCTGCAGCCTCCGCCAACGCGGCGCCGGGCCTGGCATCGCCTACCAGCTGGCGGTCCGCCGCTCTCCTCCACGCTCTTGGTCTTGGGTTTGCTGGAGGCCGGTGGAAACAGTTGAACTGGGCCATAATTTTAGATGATTTCCGAAAAACGGACAAACCACGCCTGGAAATGGCATTGTTAACCTAAAAGTGGCCAAAGTGAAAGGCAGTGGAGTATTTATTTTGGGGTTGACAAATAAAAATGGCAAGTAATAGGATATATTGGAATATATGAGGAAGCCATTTGGTCTAAACCTAATTCGGCCTGACCTTGTCTTTCCAAAAGGGCCTGACCGAGGCTATTGAGCATGCATTGTATATCTGCTTTAGAGATTCCCTATGGCAAGAGCAAAGGCCCTTGAGATAAAGGTGCAACTTCCCTCCCCCTCCCAACGTTGACGTCTCCTTAAGGATTAAGTATCTTTCCTTAGGCTAGAAGCTGATTGCTGTGCACACCTGTGACCGCCCAGCTGGAGACAATAGACTTGCCTCCTGCTACGCCCACCAAGATAGCAGACCCACTACCTGCTGTGTCCATCAAGTGCTGTGCTGACAGGGCAATCTTGTGACTATTGTGGGAGGGACATTTCAATCATATGTGAAACACCCTCTTTGAGGGTATGTAACCAACCTTATACCCCCACTTCTTTGGAGTGCTCTGCTCCTTTGTGCAAAGACTCTCCCGGGTTATAATCCTAAAATTTAAGCTCAGATAAACTCGCCCAAATTTTCATTTATAGATTGGTTATGGATTATTTTTGTCAACAGGGTCAAAGAATTGCAATTCCAGGAGCACAGATTCAGGTAGAAACCCAAATATTGTCCTGATTACAGCAGAAGGGTTTAGGGTTTTTATGGGGAAAAGGGAGGAAAGGATAAGCTGTATTAAAGAAGAGTTCATTGGTGCTGGGTAAGGTCAGGCTAGGTTTATAGTTCATAGATTGGCCTGAGGTTCCATCTTCAGACAAAAGGCCAGACTTGTACTTCATTGACTGGCTAGTGATGGGTCCCCGGCAAAGTCAAGTTTCATCAGCCCTTACAAACAAGATACCCTTACCCTTACTGACTTCTTTGGAATGTTGGTGGTTTGGTCCAGTTTGGAAGACAAAGAAAACAAGATGTACAAGGCAATTCCTCTGAAATGGCTGCTCTGGCTGTATTTTAACCTATGTCAATGTTTATTCATTACTTGCTCAGATTATATCAAAAGTTCCTAGGGGCCAGCCCTGTGGCTAAGTGGTTAAGTTTGTGTGCTCCACTTCAGTGGCCCAGAGTTTTGCCATTCGGATCCTGGGCGCAGACATGGCACCACTCATCAGGCCATGCTGAGGTGGCATCCCACATAGTAGAGGTAGAAGGACCCACAACTAGAATATACAACTATACTCTGTATTCAACTATATTATACATTCTGGGGCTTTGGGGAAAAGAAGAAAAAAAAACTTGATAAAAATAATCCATAACCAATCTATAAATGAAAATTTGGGTGAGTTTATTCTGAGCCAAAATGTGAGGACCATGGCCCAGGGCCTTCCTTACCAAAGGAAGGAAGGGCACCAAAGTAGTGAGGTGTACAGAGTGGTGATATACCCCCAAAGAGGATGTTTCACATATGATTGAGATGTCCTTTTTACAACAGTCACGAGACTGCTCTCTTGGCACAGTGATTGATGGACACAGCAGGTAGCAGGTCTGTTGTCTTGAGCTAGGTGGTCACAGGTGAGCACAGCAATCACTTCCTAGCCTAGCGAAAGATGCTTATCCTTAAGGAATTGCCAATGTGGGGGAAGTTGCACCTTTATCTTAAGACCATTGGTTCTTGTCTTTGGGACACAGCAAATACTTCAGCAGATATACAACACATGCTCAACGGCCACATCAGGCCCTTTTGGAAAAACAAGGTCAGGCCAAATTAGGTTTACACCAGATGGCTTCCTCATATACTCCAATATATCCTATTGCTGGCTATTTCTATTTGTCAAAATGATTGGCAACAGATGTTAGCTCAAGGCCAATCTTTAAAAAAAAAAAGTTCCTAGAGTTCCCCTGAGTGGGGCCCCTCTGGAGCACCTTTCTTGGTTTCCTGCCCCCGCCCCATCCTAAGGAAAGAGGTTTTACCTTCTTCCTTTCCAATCCCTCCATTCGTGGCCCATCACAACCTTCTACCTGACCTAAGGTGGGATGGCACCCATTAGTCCCAGTCTTTTTTATATCTTCACTCTCTCTCTCACTACTAGGTTCTTATACTGTTTCTATACATGAGCTCAAATCTAACTGTCCTCCCCAAAACCTCCCAAAGCCTGTTTGCAATCTTGAGGTGCTGCCCTCATGCATTTTTCCTCTCTGGCTCGCTTGGAGCTCCCTCCAGAGGCTGGCCTCCCTGTCCCACCGTCTGCTGCCCTCCACCCTCCACCCTACTGCAGCACTGACCCAGCACCCATCTCAGACGCTCCTCCCTAGCCTCTGGGCCCTCACTCTGCTGGTCCTCCTTCCTGCCCTTTTTCCTCTTCCTCCCCCTCAGGTTCCCTAAACCTAGGGTGTTCCCAAGGGCATATCCTGAGTCCACCTTCCTCAGGAGGTAACATAGTGAGTGAAGAAGGCTGAGTGCAGACCGTGGCAATCACTGTGAGCATGCAGGAAAGCAGATTTGCTCGCTCATGTGACCAAAATTAAACATGTAGAGTATAGGCTGTGTGCCAGACACTGTTCCAGGTTCTAGGGAAACAGGGGCAAACAAGACAGACCAGGTCTCTGCCTGTGTGGAGTTCACAGCCTAGTAGGATGCCCAATGAACAAGCAAAAAGTCAGTTAACAAGTAAGATTCAATTGTGAAAAATACTAAAAAAAAATAAAATTCAGTCTTGTCATAGAGAACAATAAGTGGGGAGGACAGGTTCAGATTTTTATGCAAAAATGCTTGATTTTACACTATTAGATACTATTTTTTAAAGAACTTAAACACTATGCAACTGAGAAAAACCTTATTTTCCAGGCCAAATTTGGCCTACTGCCTACTAGACTGCAACCTGTGTTCTAAGTCCCAACTACCCAAAGTATAGTCCAGGGACCAGGAGCTTGTGAGAAATGCAGAGTCTTCCCCCTACTCCAGATCTGCTGGATGATCAGAATCTGCATTTCAACAAGATCCCCAATCCCCGAGCAACATCATTCACATTTGATATAAAGGCCTTCAGACCCAACTTCTCTCCTAACGCTGGTTCAGTTGTCATCTTTCAGAAAACTTGACCTAAAATTCTTGCCCATAATTCACATTCATTATGCTGTAAAGCCAAACCCAAGGGCTGCCCATCCTTCAGCTTCTCTTACTCTCATCTCATTCCATCCTCCCTGCCACAGCTAGATTATCTCCCATTCAGGCTGTTGAGATGGCATCTGGGAATTCATCCCATCAACTCTCTCATGCTTCCAGAATAAATTGCTCCCCTCTTGCTGCTCCTAGTACAGGGGTCTCAAATGTAATGTCCAGAATGGCCAGACAGATGACATAAAGAGAGAAGTGGGCACTGGTCATGACTCCTCTGGAAAGTGGTGGGTATGAACCCAGTAGTGCTGTGTTGGTTTTCCAAGAGAATCCAGAAATCCAGATTTTTATAGGAAATCTCCCACATTAAAATGTTGGCAACTCGTCTCTAAAAATGTAAACACTGTGCCAGCCAAATAAAATATATCTATAGACCACCAGTTTACAACTTCTGAGACCTAGTCTACTCATGACATTGAGTCAGATGCTGTGGGTTATTTGAAGGCAAGTATGTCATCATTTTCGTCTTTGTATTGCTGGCACCTACTACTAAACTTCACTTAGTAAAGGGACAAATTAAATTAATACTGGTCCTTTTACATATAAGGTGATACTATGATGTCATTAGCCAAAGGCTCAGGTTTAGAATCAAGTGTTCAGGGGCCTTGGCCATTTCTGTTGCTGCTACCCAGAGGCCTCCTAGAACCACAGATTCATCATTGGTACCATTATGTAAGTCAGTGTCAGTGAAAGTTCTTGTATATGGGGCCTTCTTCCCCCAAACCAACTCACAAGCTCCCCCCAAGGGAAGAAACACCCTCTAAGGTGGTTATTCATTGTGTAGCCAAGGGCTTTGGTCCCCTGGGAGACAGGGGTCTACTATTGTCCAGCTACTCAACTACAGAAGGTGACTGCATGTGCATATGAGTGAGCTTCTGAGAGCAGGCGTGGACCAGGACAGACAGTACAAATTCTGAACATCAGAGAAGGGTAAGGAGGGCACCAGATGCTGGGAGAGGGCCCACTGGAAAGACTTGTCCCTGCATGAGCTCCACCTGGTCTCAGGGTGGGCAGTAGCCCACGGTGGCCACTCTGCTACAGGAAGAGAGAGATGCTAGGTCTCTGCTATGTCAATGGGCCTCCCATTGACAAAAATAAAAACAAAGAAGGAAAGCCAGATCTGACTCTTGGCTGTATTCTCCACTAAAGGGCAGCTTAAACTTTCAGAAGAAAATAAATCTTTAGCGCTTGATAAAGCATTGAGGAGCCTTTCCAGTAAGTTTCCTCATGGGCCTCCAGCCCCTGTGTGAGGCTCTGGGGATGAGAAGGGAACAGATAAACTGAGCTCTTGCCTCTTGAAGCTCACAGTCCAATGGGAGGAGAGACATATTAAATACAAGAACACGCAATGAATGTAGAATCAGAACCTGGAACAATTGCCATCAAGGAGAGAGAATTCCAGGCAGAGTGCTGTTTGCATTGGAGACCATGAGAAGACCTCTCTGAGAAGAGGATGCTGCACTAAAATCTTGAGGATAAGACAGAAGCAGCCATTGGTGGGAGGTGGCAGGGGATTCAGGAAGAAGGGAGAAATCTAAGAAGGAAATGGGGTGATCAAGGAAGAGGGGAGCTCCAGCTCTAGAGGCCCTGAGGCAGGAAAGATTTTGATGTGTTCCAGAAGAAGAAAGAGTCCTTGAGGCTTCAGAGCACAAAGTATGAGGGACGAAGAGGCTGGAGATAAGGCTGCTGGGGTAACAAGACCTTGAAGGCTGTCCTTCATTAAAAGTTCAAATTTTATTCAACATGTAATGAGATACCATTGATGAGCTTCAAGGAAGAAGAGGTGACTTGACTGATGCTCTTGCCAGAGCTTTCTGCCTGCTGTACGGAGCATGCATT